AATCTTATCATGAAATTGTTGAACTTAATAACTTGTGTCTATTATATGAGGTCGAACCAATTCTATTGGACTGTCTTCGACAATAGATGTTTTCTTCATACTTATGATATGCTATTACAATTTTAATCTCAACACCAATAGAGACTTCTGTGCCGATTGTGACTTCATTTGTTTTTTGACATATGTCTGTATATTTTACCTTATAACTCTTATGCTTGCCGTGNGTATATTTTACCTTATAACTCTTATGCTTGCCGTAGTCACTGTACACATTGTAATTTATTATTGCATTGTAATCTATTATCGTACATACTGTCGGATGTCTTCTTTTTGTTGAAAGAAAATTATTTATGTCAAGATTTGCTTTTGTATTAAGTGAATTAATAACTTATTATTACATTTTATGTGTTTTGTACTTTAATTTTTTTTTATTTTTTACTTTGCATTTTTCTATTTTGTTTTTTTTTACTCATTTAATGAGCTAATTTACAGATTTTTTCGTTGCCTTATAAAAAATTATTTTCGAATATATAATTTACATTTATTTCAATATTGTTTTAACATTATTTCATTTAATTTAGTTAAACATTTTTTTTTTGTTAAATTAAAATGATTTTTTTTAGTTGTATACTTTATGATAAAAGTATTAATGATTTTATTTGTACTAAACATTTATAAATATTGTATATTNTGATTTTATTTGTACTGAATATTTATAAATATTGAATATTATAACTGTAAAATCCTAATCGAATTTTAGCAAATATAATAACGATATTTTTTGTAATTCGTGTGTTCAATTTAATATTTTTCTAATTATTAATTATTATTTTATAATATTAAAATAATTTTGATATCATTATGTCGAATGAAAAAGGTATATAAATAGTATTTTTCATAAAAAAATTGTATTGATCCATACATTTTTCAAAAAGTAATATCTCATGTATTTATGAAAAAATTGATATTGATTTGGTCTCTTTTAAAAAAGTTATGGCAGTTTTAAGTAAAAAAAAATTGTAGATAATCTTTAATTTTAATAAATTGGTTGATTATTCTTAAAGAAAAATTAACTCCTATTTCTATCATAATTCCTAATTAGTAGTTGCTTTATAAACATAATATATGAATAAATATCTATTAAAGCAATTCAACGTAGTATGAAATTGATATTTAATAATTTAGTATTGTAATTTTTTCAGAAAATTATAAAAAATTATAAAGTAGTTATTAGTTATATGACAAACGTGTATAATAATTAAAAGACTTGATACAGAACTTTTTAGATAATAATTTGTTGTTAATTATGAATAAATGGTCAGAAAAAAATTTTATCCGGGTCAAAAATATACTTTAATTATTCAATTTATCGTGCTAATTTTAAATCAGCAATTATATTTTTTCTATCACGAATAATTTTTGATATTATTACTAAATAATTAAAAACTATAAAATATAACTATAAGAAAAATAGTTCTGAATATTTCAAATGTATCATCTATTTAAGTTACATAGAAATTATTAATATTTCCAATAAAATAATTTATTCGATATATATACAAAAATATGTAATAAGTTATTTTAACGAAATTTTAGCCTTTTACATAAATTTAGTGTTAATAATAATTATCTAAAATTAATGATCTAAAAAAGGCAATAGTGATTTAGCTAATGGATCACCTTATGGAGTAGGAGCAGTGTTGGGACATGTGGTAGATGGCGTGGAAAAGTTTGTGTCAAGTACACTATCTGTGACTGAACAAAAATATTCTCAACTTCATAGAGGAGCTTTAGCTATCATTTTTGCTATTAAAAAATTCCACAAATACAATTATGGGAATAAATTTATATTGTGCTCAGATTCGCAAGTTTTAAAGGAAATATTTAGTCCTGAGAAAGGAACATCGTTAGTTACTGTTTCTCGGTTACAAAGATGGGCAGTAATGTTATCCATGTATGATTATACCTTTCAATACCGTCCTAGTAAGAGTATGACACATGCGGATGCATTATCGAGGTTACCTTTAGTTAGCCAAATTAATATAGATGAAGAAGAAATAAATATATTTAGTGTTATAAACGAGGTAGAAATAAATTTAGATGAGATAAAAAAATGTTTGAAAGAGGATAAAGAATTACATACCATTTATGAGTATGTTATATTAGGTTTTTTTTTTTCACACGGTCGATATAATGACGGCCGCACTGGAACTACCGTGAGGTATTACTTCAGGGCAATGTTATGTTAGGCTGGCCTAGAGGTAAATCAAAATCTAAAGTATTATCTTAAAATAAAAAATAAATTAAATATAGAAAGTAATTGTTTATTTTTTGAAGAAAGGTTAATTATTTCTAAAGTATTATAAAATAAAGTGCTAGAATTATTACATAAAGATCATGAAGGCATTGTAAGAATTAAAATGTTAGCCAGAAGTTTGTTTTGGTGGAGAAACACGAATAAAGAGTTATTTGGCTAGTTGTACAATTTGTAATCAGTTACTTAGGATACCTAAGGAAATAGTTCAATCTAAGTGAAAAGCACCTAAGTATCCTTTTGAAAGGGTGCATATTGATTTTACTATTTTGAGGAATACACGTTTTTAATAATTTTCGATGCATTTAGTATATTCATCGAAGTTAAACTTATGAGAAAAACATGTTGTATGGATTTAATTAAAGTTTTTCAAAAGTGTTTTGCTTATTTTTGATTACCAAATGAGATTGTGTCAGATAATGGTCCTACTTTGAATTCATAGGAACTAGAAAAAGTTTGGTAAAGAACATAGTATTAAAATAAGTAAGAGTCCTCCGCACCATAGTCAATCAAATGGTTTGGCTGAGAGATGGGTGCAAACAGTCAAGTCATACTTTAACAGATATTTCTTAGACAATAAGGTGAACAATTTAACTATTTAAGAAAAAAATTATAAGGTTTAATTCAGCATGTAATGCAATGCTCTCAACGGTAACAGGTAGATCACCTAAATATAATATTTTGTCTTATAAAATAAAAACACCAGTTAGTTCATTAAATCCTAAGAGTGAAGGAATTAAAAATAAAAAAAGGGTGAGTTTTGAGTTAGACAAAAATAAGTATTATGGTAGCGAAGACAAACCAGTCAATCAACTTAAAGAGGGAGAGCAAGTA